TCCTCTACTCACTTTGTTTCTTTCTTTGCTTTTTTATTTGTTCTGTTTCCCATTTCCTTTAGTTTTCAGATTTATGATCCATATTTCTTTTATTTTCAACCTGTGCTTTCTTTTGACTTCTTCCACTTCAGATATTTTGTGCTCATTTTAGTGCAAGAAGGATAAATGAAGGCTACACATAAAATCCCCAAAGGCTTCACAATCACCAAAATGCCCAGAGTCTCAGACATCATACAACTTCAACCTGAGGCAAATTAATTTATATGAATCCCTACTGGAAGCCTTCATGATAGACATCTGTAGCAATGCCTATTGTGCACAGGTATCACCAATACTACTAGATTATTTTTCACTGACTGAATTGTCTGTGGTAAGCTCACCAAGGTCAATTTGATGTCCAGAGTGCAAGCAGCTATAGGTGCAACTGAAATCAATGGCCGCTTTGCTCTACACAGTTTCACCTCAGAGGACAGAAACTCACAGAGGGCTAGGAGAGTGCACTGGTAGTCATACTTAGAAGAGGCACAAAAATCATAATGCATATTAGCACCACAAAACTCTGTCAGAAGCTAGGTCCCATTACAATAAGAATCTGCATTAACAAAGCTCACCCCTTCACATAGGCACAACCACAGGTGAAAATTCAAATTTTCAATAGTTTTTTTAAGCTACTTCTCAAGCCTCCAAAGCATACCAGAAACTTTTGGAGAGATGTCCATAACTGCAATGTTATGGACAATTCATTCAGTGAAATTATCTCAACTGGTAATTCCTGCTGCCCCCCAAAACAGTATTTATATAAGCTAGAAACACAGTTAACTCTGGGTTATTTAAAAGGACAACAAGAACACAATGGTATTTGTCTCTTTTATTATGAAAGATACAAAAACAGAGTGTAGTGAAGCTATCATTAGAAACATGAACTTTTGTTGAGCCAACTCTCTATTTACATACACAAAATTCTCCAAGTGGAACAATATCAAATGTGAGACATGTCAGAATACACCATATATACAAGTTTAGAGATTTAATATCTGTTACTTCATACATAATGGCTACACAAAAAGTCAATTCCTACCTGTTTTCCACAAGTATTTTAAATTAAGTTTAGAAGACAACCCAAGCAAAATAAAGCAGAATGTGGGAAATGTTCTGCAATCTGAATGGTTACTTTATAAAAAGAGTACAAAATAATAGAGCCAGGTTTTCAAGTCATGCTGAATATTCTGTCAAATAGTTCACACTCCAAACTAATGTAGGTAGAAAAATGAAAACTGTTACTGATTTTTATTGTCATAAAACCAGAAATATATCAGGAGTTCACGATGCACTCACTTCCAGATCACTAATCAGCTACTAGGAAAAGCAAATATTTTTGTTATTTTTTTTAAAAACTCTTCCTTCAAACAGAAAAGCCAAATAAAATATTTGACCTTGCTTTGCATGATCAGACATTCTGATTAAAAGCATGAAATACAAGAAGACACACCACATTGTATGGTTTTTAACTGGAACCAACTACTGCTTTATTGGTAAGGCACTTCTTCCTTTAGATCAGTCCACTTTGCTACATTTTAGTTTAGCTCCATTTCACACAGCGAGGTGATTTCAGCTATGCCATTTGTGATAGCAGAAGGGATGTTGTTAGGAACTTTTGCTCTCCAAGCATGGATGGCCTCAACAATACCTTCTGGATTGCTTGAACCCAAGTCACATAGTGAATATACGGCTGCCAGCTGCACACCCCAAGGAACAGCTGCAAAATGTTAACAAAAATCAGCTTATAGAAACTTTTTGACAAGCAAGAATGTTTTAGGGAATCTTGAATCTATAGAAACTATTATTCAAGAACTGAAAATAAAACACATCAACAGTTGTGATGCCTAACACCGTAACATAGAAAGATGACAACCTTCACACAAATTTCATAACATCTCATTTTATACTAACTCTTTCCAGTTTTCTCAATTCAGCAACTTTTTAGTACTCAAAGGGCATACAGGAATTGAGAATCTAGTGACTTTAGTTAAGAGTAATCAGAGTTAAGAAAGCAGTCAAGTTTACACTGCGTCTGAAACACAGACACACACTGTACACCATACACTACCAAGTTAGAACTTGAGATTGCAAAGAAGATAAGTTATACAGGTGGTTCAAAACAGCTCCCAAACATTAACAAATGCTTCACTGCAAAATGTACTTAACATCCAGAGTAACTTAAAAATGTGGATTTCTGCTGCTCTAACTGCCTTGTTTCATCTCATCAGTACCTTGAACTGTCTTTCTCCTAATACAACAGTTTTATTAGTAAGATACAGCATAAATTGCTCAGGTGAAAAATTAACTATTACAGCTCAAGTTACAATCACCCTTCAAGTGATCTTAACTTGATCACCCTTTAAGTGATCTCTAATGCAGCTGACAGGCTCTTACATGAAACAGTCCAATTCCAAGGTATCTGAAACCATCTCACAATTTTTCTCTGTTTCAAATAGAAGGTAATACCATTAAAAGCTCATTAACTTTGTAACAGAAAGAGAATCAAACTGAAAACTGTTTCATCTGTTATACACTAACGAAAACTGCAAGAGCAGGCTGTTTTGCCATGTGTGCCTTAATTTATATTCTGGCATTGCAAAACTTCACATTGTGGACGTTACACTCAAGTTCCTCTAAAAGAACATTACCTTCCTCTTTTGCATGCTGTACAAACAGTCCAATTACTGAACTAATATTCTTCACTGCAGCAAGATAGCCTTCCTTCAAACCTATTTGTCCTAATCGACCTGAAAGAAAAAGAGTTACTACATATCTGACTACTTAGACAGTCAACTTCCCAGCTTTTATACTTCCCAGCTCTCTGTTGAAGTATCAACAGAAAATGCAAATTTTAACTACAAAAAATTCTTGTTACCATGTTGTCTTGGGAACAACAGTTGTCTTATTCCTTGTGTAACTAAAGACCCCAAGGCATTTTTCATCAGATTGATTCAGCCTCCTATAGGTTTACAATTTTTAAGTGTAAAACTCAGAAAGAGTGCAATTTTTTTCAATAAACCATGTCATATAGCCTACATACTGAAAATATTTACTGAAACTCAAATTATATATATTTACACCAAATGCCACCTAGATCCCAAATAAATTAATCTAACTTAAATTTATTATGGTATTAAGTTGCATAAAAAAACGCATTTTATACATTTTGCTGGAAACTATATGGCATGAAGCTGTGTCATGGGAGGTTTAGGTTAGCTATTAGAAAAATGTTCTTCACCCAGAGGTTGGTTAGGCACTGGAACAGGCTCCTCAGGGAACTGGTCACAGCACCAATCTGTGTCTGATTTCAAGACGCATTAGGCACATGGTGTGATTTCTGGGGCTGGCCTGTGCAGGGTAGGAGTTGGACTTCAATAAACCTAGTGTGTCCCTTTCAACTCAGGATTTCTATGATTCTATACGTGGCTACAGATTATTTCATTTTAAATACATAAAACATGTTGGTATCTCTTATCATGAATCAATATGACATCTCTGAAAACTTAAGTACCTTCTTTCCACGGGCTGATGAACAGAAAATACCTGCATAAAGATCCAATAAAATTCAATAATACTTCAACCCCCTTTCCAGACAGGCCTGACACTTTCATAAAGACATACTTATACAAAATAGAAGTTCAACCAAGAATTTAAATTACTTACCAATTAGCCTGAGTATCAATGCTATAACACTATCACGAATTGACTGAGCAGTTTCATGCCCCTTTCTCTTCTTTATCCAGTTATCCATAGAAGGCCAAAGCACTTTGCTGTGAAAGAAAAATGAATTTGAAAATCTCATACTGCATGAAGGGGTGGTTATAGTATTCATACAATAATGAAGGCAAATTACTCTTTTGTTTATTACTAACTTTACATAGACTGACTTGACAAATGTATATGAAATCGTGTTGCTTTCAAATGTCATGCTGATATGTTCTGTAAGTTTCTTATATGACTGAAAATTCAGTTTTTATGTTACAAGTAAGATGTGATGCTTGTTTTTAAACCTAAAATGACCCAAAGTAAGGCTTTTTTAACCCTTAAAATTATGCTAATAGACCTAGTTACCTATTACCATCACAACTCAGAGACAATCACCTTGCTATGGCTTTAACTAAGACTACATATGTTTCACTGAAGCTAATTTGTATTAATTTTAAAAGTATTTCAACAAAAAAACCTTCTATACTATCTGAAGGTATGATATTTATATACAAGACGACGATTATAAGTACCACTTATTATGTTATGTCACAGAAAAACAAATGTCTTCTAAGTCGTGTAACCTCTATATAGAAAATCAAGGCTGTCAGATCAGTGTAGCTGTCAAAATGGAGTCTTTCAAACAAGCTTAAGTATGGTAGCAGTCCATATCCTGGATTTTAGGTTCAAAGAAAATTTAAGATATTGACTCTAAGTATTATAATTTAAAATCAGACAGAAATCAAGATAATACATTAATGAGTATGGATATATTTCACTTTCAGCACGGAAGCAGTGTTATTTTCATATGAGAAATTCCACCCTTGTTTTCTGCTGTGGGGGAAGGGGAATTCAACAAGTAAGTTCAGAAGAAGACAATCACTTTGCTTCACTGACAGACAATTCATCTTAAAATCTTATACAGCTATTTTGAAAGCAAATCTTTACTAGAATAGCTCTAACAGGGTTCATTTCTTGGGGCAATACTATAAAATACTACATTTCCTCATTGATCATTCCTCCTATCTTAAAATAATGCACAGATACACAGTAATCTAAGTCTCATCAGGTTGAAACATCCTCGTTTCTAAATACCTATGCAACATTTTATTATGTTAAAAGCTAAGTCATAAAGAATTTGGGAAACAAAAAAACACGACCAAAACAAACCACAGAAAAAACCACAAAGGAAAACATTTGAAAGACATGATTGCCACAATACCTTATAACATTATCATGTGTCCAATCCCACTTCATATGAGAGCAGAGTAGATCAACAGCAAATATATACTGCCAAGCATCTTCACTGAGGTCTTCTCCATACTGTTCACTCAGGTGAAATTCTACTTTTGTACATGACTGCATTTCTAAAAGCAGGTTTGAGACCATAATACCAGCATCTAAAGATGAACTCTGGAATTTTAGAAGGTAATTATCTTAATGCATAAAAAGTTACCAGCCCAGAACCAAACTCATTACAAATATTTGATACTGACTGTTTACAGCATCTTACGCCATATATCCAACTTTGGGTTGAATTAACACAAACAAATAGAGTACATAAACCAAAACCTTCAAGTACTAGGTATTTTTCCTGATGCTTTTACTAAAAGGAGAGTTTGGGAAAAAAATACCCAAACAAGATAAAACACAAATCTCACACCCACTCTCTCATCTCCTTCTACAATTTGGGGATTTTTATTTCTCTCAATGCAGCATTCAGGTAAGAAGCGTGTTTTTCCAGTGCAAGAAGATTAGTCTAATATGGTCTAATAATTAGTCTAATATAAATAATTCTAAAATTCGTTACTCTTTATTCTTCATTAGGGGTGAGTTTGCAAGCAAATACTTTTAATAGTTGAGGTAAATAAATATGCCATGTGAAACCATTCTGCTAATTAAACAGCCAAGGGAAGAAAGGAAACTCAAAACCAAACATTTTTTGAATATCTGACACATAAAAGAAGTCTAGGCTTATCACATAAACAGAATGGGTGCTTGGCAGATCTTCTCAGTACAAAACCTCATATAATTGGCAAGTTCTGCCATGGTGCAAGTCACTAACATGACATGCTTTGACCAAGAAATAAATACCCATCCCAATTGAGCTTTACTTGGAACAATCTTCTCCTAAAATTATATGTGTAACAGACTGTTAATCACAATCTACTTGAAACTTTTATCTGTATTTCTACCCAAGTAAAACACAGCTTACAGACAGGATGATGTCATCTCCTATCGTCAATATACATCGTCAATATAGAAAATTCTATTTCTCCCCAGCTGCAGCAGCTCTCATATTTCAGAGATCCATTAATAAAGTAGGTAGTGTGAGTGCAAAGAATTAATATTTCCAAGAACATTTACTAGAACATTCTTATGTGCATCTCTACTGGCATGATACTAAAAGCTCTAACCTAATGGAATGGAGGATACAAATTCTTTGCTAAACAGGGACTGAATACCAGAGCTTAATGCTACATTACAACTGTGATACAATAGTAAAAAAACCAGATACAAATCCATGCCAAATTAACTCACTCCTGCACTAAAGCAGGAGGTTTAGGGGGCTGTAATTTCAGTGATACCGAATTAAATTCGGGGCTGGCTTCAGAGATTAAAGAAAAAAAAATCATACAACACCTAAAGGCTATGATGACAGCAGTAAGACTACTGCATTCCTCAAGGCAGTTGTAGAGCAGCATGTTAGGATAGGGAATAGATGAGCTATTGTCATGGTTTAGGAATTGTATTCTCCAAATTAGTGCTCCCACTAAAACCAAGCACTGCTAGCTTCCTCCCTCCTCTCCCTTCCTCTTCTCTGTGGCAGGATGGAGAGGAGAATTGGAGGCACAAAATATAAAGATCACAGGTTGAGAAAAGAACAATTTACTGGAAACAGCAATGAGATAAGACAACAAACAGTAATAACAATGAATACTAATGATGGAGGGTACAAAAGAGAGACCAACAATTCACATGGAAGCAACAATACACAACCTCTCCCTCCATCACACTATGCTGGCCTGGAAGGGACTCATTCTCCCTGGAAGAGACTCCATTCCCCACATCCCTGGTAATGATACGAAGTGGTACAGAATTAACCTCCAAGTCCCAGCCACCCCCCCCTTTTTGGCAACTGCAAAAATTAACCCTGTTGTGGCCAGAACTAGGACAGCTATGAATCAATATGATTTTGTTCACTTGATATATACAACATTATTTTATTTCCAGGAAGCAAGCCCAGCATTAATATGGAGTTTTCAAATATATGGGGCCCTAGCCTTTAAACAGACACACAAGCCTGTGACACGAACTCCTTTAGAAGCAAAGCACCTCTGGCTTTCCATTTGCATGATGTAAAATTGCTCCCAATTATTTCAATTTCTCCTCCTTGCAACACTCTTTTCAGGACGGTAATATGTGCCTGCTGAAAACTGATAGAAATTAAATGATTTTCTGAACAGCTCAAAAACTTGAAGTCAGCTCTCACTGATCATCCTTCTCCTGGTATCAATGGTTTTGTATTAACACCAACTGCTTATGTAATTAAGTTTTTTTGCGATAAACAAGTATTTACAGTCTACCTTGCAAAAAGATCATGAGTAAAAAGAGACAGGCTCATCTTGAAATTAACTGTAGTAACGTATTACCTGTTACACAGAGAACTACAAAAGACAAAACAAATACATATTTTAAAAAGCAACAATATAAAGTAAAAGAAAGAAACATCTCACATAACATTCCACAGATAGAAAGAATTCCGTAGTTCAACAATGCTCTAGTTAAAAGTTTAAAAACAACCTTTACTTTTAATGTTCAGTAGATGGGAAAACAAGAAAAGTATTGTATTCTAGTAAGGTCTAGACAACTAGGAGAAAAATGCCTGAAGCGGCATTAGTTGTGTAACTGTACAGCCTCCATGGGATACTCACACCCTTCATTAGAAAAGAAAGTTGCTTGATTTGATTCAGCCAGCAAAGAGACCAATGCAGACAAAAGCTGATACTGACAATGAAATCAGACATTACCTGTTCCCAGTTGAGATAAGCACTTAAACAGGCCAGCATCTCATTGCTTGCACTCTGCCTGACAACTAATTGCATAGCTTTGTTAATTGCACCTTGGAAGACAAATATGTCAGACCATACATTTGTGATAAATAAAATCAATTTTTCTGAGTCTGGATAGTCTAAGGAAAAAAAGAAATAATTAAGTAAATTTTTAACATCTTAAAACACAAAAATGAATATATTCATGTGTTAAAAGCTAATACATTCAGCAAGGTAACTAAGAAAAAAGGTTACAGAAGTCACATCACAACTGAAGCCTAAGGAAAGGCAGTCATACTAGCACATCTCAGTACTGAGACTAAATAAGAAGAAAAGATCCAATAAAAACACCAAACAAGAAACACCTGCAGAACCCCAACAAACCTTAAGCCACCTCCCCCATTGTAATTTCACTCCCTCTCCCTTCATCTTTCTCACTGCACTTTAGTTCACTAAGGAGAGTGGTCTTACAGCATTGAAACTGCATTCTTTAAGGATTAAATTAGACTGGAAGATGCACTCCAACAACCCACCTAATACATTCCAGTCACAAATAAGCTCTCTGATCACTGGGCCAAACTAGAATTAGTCCAAAGGAAAAAATAATCTACAGTACTTGCTAATACATTGCACCCATACACCTGTGAAATTATATGTATTTATATATATGGATGTATATATAAAGCTTGCAAAGAACTTTCACACAATTCAAATCTGATATTCCTCTGCAGTTTTCTCAGACTTTGTCAGAGAAATTACACATTATGCAAGTTGTACGTGAGCATGCTACTATTTATACTTCCATAGATGTAAAGGTTTGTGCTACTCCATATAATTGAAGAATCCTCATTCAATAAAGTAATTCAGAGCAAGTATCTGACAACTATCAGTTAGACAGGACAGTTCCAGGCCATCAATGGGAAGCCAAAAGACCCTTCTGAATACTAAAGGTGAGAGCTCCAAGGCAAAATACTAAGATAAAACATGAGTTAGACTTACAATGAGTTTCACTTACTTCCAGTGTATTTGTTATTGCTTACAGTTTAGACTGTAAGCAATAACAAATACATTGGAATAAGTTATAAAGCAGATACTACTTTCATGCATGAAATGCTATACTGGAATGCATATGCCTGAAACACTATATAAAAAACAATGAAATCTAAAAAGCTGAATGAACCTTCCCTCTTCACTTCAGCATAACTTCTACATTTTTTGAAAGACCGTAAGTACTAGAAAACATATCAAAATGTATCAAATCAAGAAGCTTTAATGAACATAGAGGATATACACTTTAATGAGGTATTTTGGATGGACCTTTTACTCTGAAGCTGCTCATCATGTGAAGAATTCACTTTTTTCTATCAGAACTTTTTTCTATCAGGACCATTGGTGAACTAGAATTACTGACAACTAGAATTGCCTACTCAGGAATTTGAAATACTTACAAAATTAATTCAACAATAAGTAAGAATTCAAGGGGCATAAAAAAGAGGAAAGTAAAAAAAAAAAAAGAAAAAATGGAGGGAACAAAGGAGAGATAAAAGGAAAAATAACTAGAAAGGTAACATTTTATTTATAGTCACTTAAGGCAGAATACTTGAAAGGAGAACAGAACAAAAACGATGGACAAGTCATCAAGACAACAAGTGATTTTGGTCTAAAGAAGTAATACTGACTGTTTATAGTGAATTTGGTAATTGTGTAGCTTGTGTTGCCATAATTCTGATGGGAATATGTGAAACGACATGAAAGAGAAAACCCAAAAATAAATGCATAGTAATCAAATAAAACCAAACAAATTTTAAAATGCCTAAACAGCACTTAAGATGTGTTTACAGCTGTTCCCACTCAACAGATAACTATAAAACCACAGAACAATGACAATAGAAACTTATGCAACTCAATGTATAGAAGAGAAAAATCATCCAATAAAAGTCTGCATTTAGCTATTAAAGTTTGGATCGTAGAAAGGAAAAAGAGAGGAAAAAAGGGGAAATGTTTAATATTTGCAAGAACCCACAAAAAGAAAAGCAGTAAGATACTGCAAAACAAAAAGCTTAATTATTATTTTAGATGCAGAAAATATATATCTGACAAGTAATAGTTTCTAACATGGTGCAGTATTAAAACTATTAACATGAAAGAGGTAAAAGTAGAATTACAACAGACTGAAGGATAGAAAAACAGAGGGGAAAACAGGAATTCGAAAAAGAACTCAAACAAAAATATTACACCCCCTCACAAAATGGTAATTAAGAACAAGATGAAATCACAAACCTTTTTAAGATTAAAAAAAAAAAGATAGGAATTTTATATCAAACATAGCAAGTAATTGAAACAATCTCAAGCTTTAGCACTTTGCTTGTCAGTGCTCTTGAATTTTATTTTAATGTGAAACACAGATACCAGTATACTATTTTCAAACTTACTGAGTTTTAGTCTTCCAAAACTAAGATTCTTAACTTAGCAATAGTATGTACGTGTTACCTTTATTTCTGTGACCAAAAGGCAGGGGAGTAAAGGAAGGGAATGAAAATGGAAAAAACTTCTCAACAAAGCAAGAATTTGGATAACAGGAAGTAAAAAGATTTTAAAGAGGACATATTATAAAAATACCCTGGTTTTGATCAAGGTATTGTCCAGCTCCTGATACTATGTTAAATACCTGGTTTTAAATCACACTTACTTTATGAATCAACACCTACTCAATTAAAATAAGAAAATACTAATAGGTTAAAATGACAAAATTCACAGAAATCACATTATCATTTTGGAGATGGTAGGGAAATGAAAGCAGAGTGTCCTAAATTTCCTTGGAAAAATAAGTAGACTACTAAGAGCCCAGGTCACCACAAAACTACAATACAGATGTGCTGGAACTATGAGAAGGGGAATTTCTTCTAGAACAGTCTATATTTCTGCATTACAGAAAAAAATTTCTGGAAAGCAAGCCTTGAAGAGGAAAACAACCCTTGAACAGGATTTCTGTTTGTTTTTACAAACATAATAATTCTGACACACTACAGCAAAGACACACAGCACATTTAAGATAAAAGGCCACTAAGCCAAACTATACCTTCTTTAAGTAGACTATAGCAGAAAAGGCGGGCTCTTTCCAAATCTCCCAAGTGTCGACAAATTCCTGCATATACTCGACACAGAGCCTGACTGAAATTATAATTTGCGGCATTCTTCTGAGCCTTCAGCTTATTGAGAATTACATGCAGCAAGGACTCTGCTAAATGCTATAAGACAAAATATATTGTTAAGACTGTTACATACTGAAGAATACTTGACAACATTGTAGTCGCATAACAAGTAATAAGAACTACTATCATATTTGCAAGAATACTGTTTGCATATATATAAAAATGCAGGAAAGTAAATCAGAGGCAACCAGTGAAAGAAAAAAGAGGAAGAGTGGGCAACTTCCCAAAATAAACATGCAATAAACAAATGAAGAACAGGGCTACTATTGTTTTAATATAATTGTTTAGTTATGTGATTAACAACAGTCTGCCTCAAAGAATGAGAATAATGACAAGTAGAAGGAATGAAGAGAGGGATAACGACAAGTAGAGTAACCCAAATAACCTAAACAGAGCAAATGTAAGCACCCTGACTTAGCTACTTCCAAAGATGCCACAGAAGGACAAACAGCCCATTGTTCAGGTGTGAGATTTACTAGGTAAGTTAACAGCAGTCTTTCTCCAGATCACAGTACACACTGCAGGAGATGGGGAGGAGATGTTGCTGCCTATAGTAACATGGGATGCAAGGAAAAAGAATATTGGGATTGTGCAGAGTGTGCATGACTTATTAGGGAATGCTTAGAGGGAGACCTGAAAGTGGAGAGTAGAATGAGAGGTTTAGGAGCCAGGCATGGGAGAGTACACAGTTCAGACTGGGTATCTGTGGACAACAGGGATTCTGAGTGTTAGCTTTGGGAGGAATCAGAAGGTCTAAGCCAGCTATCTGAAAGACCACAAGTCTGAGGCCCAGACACAAGTCCAGACCAGCTGCTGGAGGAATGTGTGTACACTTCTGTGTCTCTAAGTTTGTCAGTGCATGAGACAAGTGAGAAGAATATCAGTCACTTACTGGATATACTGAGTGCCTAATGTTAGCTGCTAGGGAAATCCATATTGTCTGTATATATATGAAAGTATTTTCCTCTGCCAGGATTTCAACCTGATTAACCAGACAAGAGAATAAGAGTAGGTGTGTACTGTGTGCATGTCTCTCTACTAGGAGTATGGCTTGCTACTGGCTGGACCTGAAAACATAAAGCTACAAGCCTTACTTCTATGAAGTTACCAGACTTGACAACTCCTAACAAAGAGACCTGAGATCTCGGTAGCAACTTCTGAGGAGAACTTAATTATGTATCAGGACTGTAACAGAACAAAATGCTACCATGTATCAGTTGGTGAATTGCTCTTCTAATTCTACATCTATGAGAAAGATGGCAACTGAAGCAAAATTTTTCAGCACTGATGCTAAGGAAGTTCTGAGAAATAAAATAAGGGAAAAATTTTCCAATAAAATTAAATTTAATAACCTGATGTGGAATAGTAAACATAGAACTGTATTATATACCAGTATATACATTGAAGTTTATATTTTTCAATTTTTAAAAAAATAGAGTAAATTTGGAGAAACTCCTACAACTGTTAATACTGTCCACTTCAAAAAATGCTGCAAAAATAAAGTGGTTTATGCATACATCAGAAAGTATATGTATTTATAAATGCAGTTTTGCATCTTGGACACCACTGAACAGTAATTTCTTGTGCAGTTCTGTATTTTCTTATGTTATAAAAATTTAGATTTCTAATAATCTTTCAAGATTACACTTTGGCATAGGACAGTGCCACAACAATTGAGAATTCAAATAATACAAACTTACACTATTTCTGCCTGCACAGAAGTGATAATTAAACAATAAAATTAAAAATTATGCTGCTTACCTTGTTTTTTATACCAAATTCATAGACAACTTCTCTCTCTTCATCTCTCATTACTGGAATCTGTGAGATATTACCAGCATACACATGACCTTTGATAACTGGTAACAAGTCAAAACAGGATTCAGCAACTTTCTTTAATGCCAACAAAACTTTCTGGCAGTCCTTCTTTACTGGGAGTGATTCTTCTGAACTGGAATGCTGTGATGAATCACCGATTTCATAGCTTTTACCACGGAAAGCCTCCTGCATTTCAGAGATGGTATTTTTAGTATTTCTGACAGCAGTAATATCACTGGGCTCCATCCTTGGCGGTTCACTGTCCAGCCTCAGTCTTTTGGCACTTCTTGGCATAGATACCCGCAATAGTGTCCTTTTTCCAAGATGATTTGAAAACAATTGCTGATTTTGCACATATTTGTCTTCATCTTTGCTACTATCAGATTTCAAACTGCTCCCAGCTTTAACAAAAGCAGTTGATGTAGATGCAATTGCTTTGAATCCACCTGCTTGAGACACAGGTCCTGGCAAACTTTGGTTGTCTGAAAAAGGACATCGGTTAAGCTGAATATTGCCTTTCAGAATGTTTAGTGTCCTTGCCCTTGCAGACAGCTCTGGATACATAGTGTCCAATATTTTCACAGAGTTCTCCTGGGGAGCGTCTGGACCAGCACTAACTGCTGCAAAGAGAGGAAATCTTCCTGGAACAGGAAGTGCATGCTTTGGAATGGAAGTACAAAATTTCAAAGGTGAGGAGAGAATCCTTCTACCTACTGTCATTTCTGAGGGTGAGGGAGGAGAAAATAAAATAGCAGATTTTACTGCTGGAGTATCTGTTAATGGGGACATGAGAGGAAGAACAGGAGTTTTGCATAGTGGGGATATCAGGTCATCAAGAGGGGAAAGCAAAGAGAATTGACCTGTTGAAGACATTACCGGGGACACAGTACAGGCAGTTTTTGGAGGAGTAGCAATCAGAGGCAGTAGCAAGGGGGGCAGAGGAGGACCTATCTCTTCCCTGATTTTATTTATCATCTCAGATGAGCATTTTTTTGCCACAGAAGTATTAGCATTTGCAAGAACTGGCTGAGTAACTTTAAGAGTCTTTGTTTTTCTTTTACCTTGAAACAGTTTCTTTGATAGCTTGGTATGCATTACATCAACAGCTGTCTTGGTAGAAACAGTCAAGATTTCAGATGGTTCTTGCTCTTTACACTTCCACTTATTGCTTTTCTTGAGAGCACAAGACTCTGATTCCACCATATGTAACTTCTCAAATACTGTCTTTTGTGGTTCAGAAAGCTGACCAACTGTTTGACAACTGCACCTTACATCAGAGAGGGTTGGATTTGGAAGATAATTGAGTAAAATTTTTTTTGTACCACTATCTATGATAACATCAGTGCTGCTTTCTCCTGTATTGCAAGCAGTGTAAGTTTGATTATTATTACTATATTCTTCAAACACTGAGACTCCCATATCACCACTGTGTAATAAACCTTGTTTCCCATTTGACTGAAGTTTTGCAGAATCATTTTCTTCTAAGAAATTGCCAAGTGCTAACATTCTTGCATTTAATTTACTGGTTTTTACAGTCAGCCTGCAATTTTCTGAGAATCTGCTTAACATCTTGCATAGTGGCAACCTATTTTTTGAAGCATTTGGCATCACAGGGCTTTCTTTTGATGTTCCAGATTTTAATAGACTTTCCTCACTGTGACTGATGCATCCAGCTGTGTTAGACTCCATGAGTTCATTAGCACTCTCAGTATTTTCAGAGGTTACTAATATACATTCGGTTTTCCAAGAGGCCGAGTCTTCAGGATAACCCTCTCCAGTCACACTTGACCACTCATTTGCAGTACCTCCAGAGTTGTTTGGTTCACAGTGTGTATTCATATCCAAGACAGTGTCTGCTTTTAGGTGACTAACTGTGAAAGTATTTCCTGGGTGCCTCATTGAATGAAGCTCACATACTTGGTAATCAGCATCAACAACTGCACCAGTTTCCAGAGCATCCAGTGCAATTCTGCTGGAAGATCTCAGTTTGTTTCTAAACATTGGAACACATTCAGAACGCTTCACATACTTAACTTTTTGTAGAGAACAGTCTTTCTCTTCAGAGTCATTGCTTTGCTCTGGCATATCAAAATCACTTTTACACTTTATTATGGCATTTCTCCCAGAACGCACAAAACCATTCAGTTCTTTACTTTCTTCCCCACCTGTTAGTGAATTAGTTCTAGAAGGATCTGTTCTAACCTTCCACATAGAAGTCCTGCATCCTGATTCTTGGCAATCAAACTTTTGGAGGAGAAAAGCATTCTTATAAGGGTTTGCATATATGATCTGTGATTTAACAGGTGCCTGAGGTTCTTTATCTACTGGCTGCTCCTTATCTGAAGTTTTCTCTTCATTTTTATGTACATATTCTCTCTCAGGGCAGCCCAGTTCTTTGCCCATGTTGACTTTTTCAGTAGTCACAAACTCAGCACCCTCTTCTAAGTTATCTGAAGAATAGTTAAATGTACTACTCATAATGGAATTTGTATGTCCCTTGTTTTCCCAGGTATAAGAAAAAGCAGCCTTTCCTGCTAAGTTGGTTTCAAGGAAAGCAACAACTTTCTGAAGACTGAAATTTAGATCAGGAGATCTTGTGGATTTCAAGCCAATTTCCACTTGCACAGGAGAATTGGTTTCCTCATTATTTATACAGCATTTCTCCAAGTCCTTTTGAGTAGAAAAAGCCAAGCCACTTCTATATTCTATTTCTGAAGTAGGCTGGCAAATGATCTCTGAAGTATTATCTTTCTTCACAACATTCTTTTCCTGCTTCAGTGAACTGGAGCAAGTCTCAGTCACCAATTCCTTGCTTTGTTTATTTAATTTCCCTTCTATTTCATCACATTTAATATTTTCAGATATCAAGAGCTGAATCAGAGGTTTTGCAAACTGTTCCTGAGACATAGGATTACTTTCTATTAAGACAGATTTAATTGTATCCCCTCTTGCTAACAACTCACTGCTTTCCCCTCCACAATCTCCTGGATTAACACTGACTTCACTCTCTAGAGATTCAAACAGTCTAAAGTTTTGAGATTTGGACTGCCCACATTCTAATTTCTCACGTAAGTTTTCAGATTGTTTTATTTCACCTTTCACTTCTGTAAAATCTAACACAGAGGATTCACACTTAGCTACACTGCTTTCCGCACCAATAATGCATGCTGTCTTTGGTAGTTCAAGTATATTTTCTAAGTTTGACTTCCTTTGAGATAAATTATTACCATCTTTCTCATGATGTGGTTTGCTTCGTAAACCTACCACCTCCTTTATATCCACTAGTTTTACATTTTCTGCACTGTGGAGTAGCTCTGACAATTCAGCTATTTCTAGAACACTTTCTCTGTTAAATTTCATAGTTAGTTCAGGAGTTGGAGCTCTGGTTATATTCACGTCTTCAATTTTGAGCTGTTCATCATTTGGAAATACTGACAAAGTTCTGATTCCTTCAGTAGAAGATACAGGTAAGCAATGCCTAGAGACTTTAACAGTCTCTGGTTCACATTCTCTGTTCACTTTGTCTTTTGTTTGCATATGTTGTTTCTCCAGAATCTCTTCACTGTCATGTTTTATTTCAGAGCACTGAGAGTGTGCAGAGATCTCAATAGCTTCAGCCGTATTAGTTAATATGACTACATTTTTTGATTTATTTTCAACCACTTCATTTTTTATCAACACATCAGATTTTTCCTCAGCATCTTCTCTTTGAAGCACAATGCATTGCTTAGATAGCAAATGAGTAACACTCTGTGGAACAGATGCTTCTCTGGAAGTTTCTCTCTGTGCTACTAATTTATCTCTCTCTGCATTCACTAATTCACCACATTTTTCATGTGTACCTTCATTATCAACAGCTCTACTTAAGGTTACATTCTCCTCTGTTTGCTCTATCACACTACACCTTTCCGTCTGATTCTGAGGCTTGAAACTTTGTAACATAAAATCTACTGAAGAATCTCCCTCTTCGCTGTCCATGTCCTCACCATCTCCTTTCTGTTCTTCCATGTCTTCTGATTTGTGTGCTGCTGCTCCAGTTAGTTCTCTGTTCTCAGTTCCCACATCCCCAGAATTCTCCTCCAAACAATTTTTGTTAGTTACCATGTTTGTCATCAGAGTGGCACCTTCAGCTTGCTTTCTTTCAGCATCTCTCTCCTTGCTTGACATCTTAGGACTGATATGAATATTCTTTTCATTCCAACTCAGATTAAGTGAGATTTCTTCATCAAAACCATGCTCACATGATTTGCACCATCTGTTACACTCATCACCAGGGTAGATTACATTACAGCTTGGAGGCTGAACTTTGTCTTCTTGTGAAATACCCTCCACTGCAGAAGTACTGCAATCATCTTCTTCATCACTGGAACCTGTGACTTCTCCCAAGAACATATCCTTCAATTAAAAAAAAGCAAAGTTAATAATCCAAACCCTAGTATCAGTTTTAGGACCTACTTTTCTAAACAAGTACACTTAAGGCCCTGACATGCAATGGTTTTGAGAGATTAAGGCCAGTCAACAAAATTACAACCCTCTCCATCACTGCTCTTCATAGTGAATGAAAGTACCTCTGTAAAAACTAGGAGACTTCTTTATCTACCTACTTGCATTCTAAAAATACTGGAAAAGAGCATTTGAGCAGCATTTAACTTTCAAGCTCTGGAATTTTGCTATGAAAGCCAGGCTTATATTGAACACAAACTGGGATTTAAGTCTGCACCACTGGAAAATTATGACAGCAAGTTGAGACATAGGTGACTGTATACTGGTTTTGGCTAGGATAGTTAGTTTTCTTCACAGAAAGGGGGGTATTTTTCGGATTTGTGCTGAAAATTATGTTAATAATATAGAAATGTTTTCATTATTGCTGAGTGGTTCTTGCACAGCATCAAGGGCTTTTCTGCTTCTCCTACTGCCACACTGGTGAGAGTGCTGGGGGGTGCACGGGAAGTTGGGAGGAGACAGTTTGGACAGCTGACCCCAACAGACCAAAGAGACAACCCATACCATTATGGCATCATGCTGAGCACATAGAGAGGGAAAGAAGGAAGGGTGGGACATTTGGACTGATGATATTTATCTTCTGAAGTCACCATTATGCATGATGGAGCCCTGTTGACCTGCCTGCTCATGTGAAAGAGTGAATAAATTCCTTGTTTTGCTTTGCTTGCATGCACAGCTTTTCCTATTAAACTGTCTTTATCTCAACCTACATGTTTCCTCACATTTACTCTTCCAATTCTCCCCAGCATCCTGCTGGTGGGGAAGTCAGCAAGCAGCTGTGTGGCACTTAGTTTTTGACTGGGTTTAAATCATGACACATACACTTCTGAAGATTATGTTTTTGCTCCCTTCCACAGGCAGCATGCTACAAGGTTAAAGTATCCATATGGATCTAAGCACACAGAGACCTTTTCAGTGCATGAGTAAATAATACTGATTTTAAAAAAAAGCCCAGGAATATAAAATCTTTATTTCTTTAGTAATTTTAAGACCAAGTTAAATGCCAAGTCAGATGCATCCTGAAACTCACCTGTGTAGTCAGTGGTGAAAGCTGTACTGGAGAAAGTAGAGCAGGAAGAGGTCTGGCCCAATTCAATATATCCATCACATTTCCACCTGGGTCTCTCCGCTCCTGAGTGGAGAAGCCTGAAGTGCTGTGCTCCCTGCCTGTCTGTATTATCACATCTACATTTTTATCCTCACCACTGTGCAGTTGTTCTTCAGCAGTCCTGTTCACAGCACAATCATCTCCAAAAGGCTCGGTACTTGTTTGAATTATCATTGCTGTTACAGAATTTTGCTTTACAGCACTTTCCCTTGAAGAACACCAAGGTAATGTTTTGCCATCACACTTCTTGATCTTTTGGTGGATTTGTACAGTGTCTAAAACAGAAAAATATTGTTAAGAATTTTTGCTCTCCCATTTTTGTTTACAGAGATAATATGCAATAGTAAATAAAATGTAATACTATATTTTCAAATGACATTTCCATGGAAGATCTTAGTCACTTTCAAAAATGCTTTCCTTATAGAGATGTGATGTTGTTATTCACAATTATTTTTTAATAAAAAAGGCATATGTGTGTGCAAAGAGCTCTTCCCCAAACTGTCTGACTTGGATCATTAAAACATTCCAAATTTTTCTCATCAGGAAGGGTCATTCTTGGCAGGATTGAAGGTCCATACGTTTTATCTCGGTCTTTGCCCAGTAACTCAGTCATGAAAAGCAGGACAACCACGCACAGACATTCCCTACCCAGGCTGTAATTCTCAGCTTAAAGCAACCTGCAGGTTTGAGCCAGCAGGTGTACTTCCAAGCAAGTTACAATCATATCCTGCCATAAATACAACAAGGAAGCACTCAGCTACATTTCTAGTTTATGATTTAATATGCATATGCTTTTAAATTCTTTAAATTCTTTTACAATTCTTTAAATTTAAATATTGAGTCTAATCACACAAGATTTTGCTTTAATGGTATTATTTAGTCAGTTCTGAACCCTTAATAAAAAAGGCATCACAACATATCCTATGCACAAAGTTGTTGGAACAACTAAGATAATGATACTGAGCAGCTGACGACCCTTCCAAGATGTCAACTGTACAGTTTTACAGTTACTCTAACAACAAGAAAGCATGTCCAAACGCTCTGTGTGATTCTTTGCATTGTACTTTTGTTTTGTTACTTTTCAAATCACAGTTTTTACTATTACACAGTAACTCATTTATTATGCAGACAAAACACATTCATCCAGGAAAGTCTAAAGACAAATAATTTAAATTTATTATAATTATGATAAATACTTCAGAAAGGGAAAAGATGGCCCAGTTTCCTGAAATTTAAATTCTATGATTTTATAAAACAAAAATATTACCTCCAATAAGACAGTAGAAATCAACAATTCCCAAACCCTAGTGTGTCATATGGAACTAAAATCTACTCTGTAGTATTTGCAATTCTTATATGACATTGTATGTGCGATCTTGTTTATAGTATTCACAAACACTACTGGACACCAAATCAGCAGTATTGAAGCAAGAGATCAAGCCTATTCTGTGAACACATGAGTATGTCATCTGCAGTGAACTACTTAAATTTTGTGACTAAATTTTGCCTTAAAAAAGCTAGTTTAGATTTAGAGGAGAAACTGCTGTTAAACAATTTACCTGCAGAGGCAGGGTAAGGAGTTTTTTATGACAGTGTCTCTCATGCACCATAAGCTGCAAAACTCTGAAAGTTTACTCAGAACCTTCGTACAGAAACTTTGTCCAGTCCCTGAACACACAGTTTCACACCCCTGCTTGACACCGCCGGACTTCCATGATCTTCGAGAAAGAAGATTGTACATGTCCAGAACTCCTCCTGGAGGAGGTACTGGGGTGTTTGCTGGAAAGATGAGGGTTATAAAAACCCCAAATTTTAATGCCTATGCGGGCCTCCACCTCTGACGGACTCCTACTGCGTATCACAACCACAGACCATGATCACTCACACATCACTGGAGCCACAGGTGGTGGTTATCTTTGTCTTTTCTCCTCTATCTTTTTTCTTTCCAGTCTTCCTCTTTGGGGTGATCACACACTTCAGAATAGCTATATACCCCTTTCCAATCCATTACAGTGTTTTCCATTTATAGTTTCAAAGCAGTTCTAATAAAATTTGTTGTTATATCAATTATTTAGCAGCTTTCTACTTTAATCCACCCCAAGGGATCCTTTAGCAACAAATGTTCAAAGGCAAGTCACAACACCATCCCACAGTACAAAGAACAGCACATACATAAAATGGTTTTGAGTATAGGATGTACTAATTTAACTGGCACAACTTGCATTCTGTTGGGGGGAAAAGAAATTGTGTGCTTCATTACTGCTCTCTGTGTCAATCCACTACTAGAACTTGCACAGATATTCCCAAAGCAACATCAATGGTAGTATCATATTTAAAAATATTAATTTAACTTGATAGGTCAAAATAGCCTTCTTAGTGATCAAAAACTTTTAAGCATATTCTGATACGTCAGCACCACTAAAGGAGTAAATTAGAAAAATTTATCAATAACCCCATTTCAAAGATCCATCTCAGTCACTTCATGTGGCAACTCCATGAAAAAATCTCAATTACTGGACACCAGGAGGAGGGAGAAACTGATCAACCTGAAGGGCCCTAGCACATCATTTTCACCAAAGATAAGAAAGCTCTGCCATTTCCTTTACATCTTATAAGTATTACGACAATACATTGTTTTATAAAACCATTTACAAGCCAGTCACATAGAGCTTCCAGGATGTTCTAAATTTTCTCAGGACAAACCTACATTCTTTTTACAATTTGAGTTCCAATCCAAAGCAAAAGGAGCTCTTTGAGAAGCAGAAACAAAGAAAATAAGGAAAATTCAGAAGTTGGTTGTCTCTTAGATTTTTTCATGTTGTTTTGTGCCAACCATTTCAAAGCGCAGAATTTACCCTGCACTGAAGCAGGCAGCAACACAGTTACAGATTTTGCCCCTATAAGGACTGCATTTAAACAATTAGGAAGTTTACTTTTCACAGTGAACTACACAATAGTACTGACTTACTAGGAACTTTACATCCTTTCTATAATCTCAAAATCAGTCATGCACCTACATCAAGTCCAAGAATATTGATACATATCATTCATTTAAATGTTTCCCCTGAACAATGGATCAAAGACATAATTTCTGAATAACTAAGAGATTCTCCAAACTTCTCTATTCATCCCTTTCCAACCCAGTCACTGATAACTGCATTTCTTTGGTAATGAGATACCTTTCTTATAGTTAGTTACCCAATTATCTGTAAGAAGAGTTGTCAGAGCAATTTTTAAAGATTCAATATAAGTAAGTTTCTTCATTCGAAGTGTCAACTCTTTGCACCTTGGCCTGAACCTCAGGTCCAGGAAAAGCCTTATTAATACTGAGCCCATCTCATTGGAAGGATGCTCTCAAAGATTGTATTTCGCAGACAAATTTTACTCTATCTAGGGAATTGCACTCTTGTTCATTATGTGAATCAGTGAAATGATAAAATTTTTCTCCTGAAATCTACAACCTGGAATCTAGCTCATGTAGCTTCAAACCCTTACACTGCTGCCTTCTCTCACTTCTGAGAGAAGATTAAGATAGATTTTGATGGTGTTTTCAAATCAGAGTAATCATGTACTACTTGAAATACCTTCTTCATGCCAAGTGGAGAAAAAAGCAGAGATGAAATAAGTGATCCAATGCTAAAATTGATTGCCTTGGTACTAAACAAACTGAATTTTACAACTCAAAACTTTACTCTTGATTGGGCACATTGCAAGGCAATTCACCGTTGCAAGTTGTCCTCTCCTCACTCCAAGCAACAAAGCAACCTTTTGAAACAAATCTTGTGGTTTTTTCCTCTCAAGAAGTGTGGAAGGAGCTAACAGTGGGCCTGTTAACTGAAGGAGCAAGAAGCAGGGAAGTAGCTGATAAGGAGCTGTCTTCAAGGCTGTAACCAAGGAGACCAAGAGAAGTGAGGAACAGAAGAAAGACAAGAAGAGAACTTCGCAGCTGGAAGGAGTATTTTTAGAAAGTTAGTTAAGTCACTGTAACTTTTCACCAATGGTGTTATGTTGATTTATTGTGGTCAATAGTTAAGGTAGAAGAAGTATAAACTATCACAGAGTGTATAAAAAGTCGGACATATTTCGTATTAAACAGTTGCCAAATGAGACTTTTTCTGGTCTCTTTGTTGTGTCGTGACCGCCCCGACAACGGCAAAGAAGGACCAGATTAAGATGTGGTATTTTATAAAAATAAATAATCTAGTAATAGAATCTCATCAGATTTACAGCAAAACCTCATCAGCACAGTGATTGCAGATGCCTGGCAGTAGCAACTGCACACTTCTCAAGAACAGTGGTGTTTCTCTGAGAAAAGAAATTCCTCCACAGAAATTTTTCAATGCCCTGACAATGAAGCAGAATTTTTCAACCTGTTTCCAATTATGTGAATTTCAGGATGCGTCATACACTAAATATTCTTTGAAGCTACAGACAATATTCTGTTTTCTGAGACAGCAAATCCGCATATTCCACTATATGAAACAAAGAACTATGGTGAACTGCATACCCAAAACTAAATATGCAATGCTACATTGTTATATAGGTGTTACCTTGAGATTTTCATACGTTTTTCAAGACAGAAAAGAGGTCTGCTTCTCAAAACACTCATTTGCTATGGACTTTAATCTCAAGACCATAAAACACACATATCCCTGGGGATTCAGTCTCATCTTTGTGTTTTACATATAATACCACTGTGTTTATCTCCTATTATCTGATATTAAAGCAGACAACTAAAGTGCAGTCCTTTCCATCTCTGCATTTAAGATCTACATGCAGCTTCTCCCCTATCCTATATCCCCAAACAAAAAGATGAGCAGGTAAGATGGGTATAGCTCCATAGTAAGCCAAATTTAGCTCAGAACCCAGTTACAGAATACCTCCTGAAGAAGCTTGGCTCCTCCCAGACAGGGAGGAGCCATGGTCTTTACCAAGTTCCTTCAGTTCATCTCACCATAGCATATAAACAGAGCATGTTAGAGAACCCAACTTACCAAAATATTCAGCACCCAGCTGCAAGATTCTTCAAATGCTTCATTAAATGTTTATTCACAATGTAGGTGATTTTATGTCCCAACTATATGAGATAAAGTTTTCCAAAGACTAAAATACTATCAATGTCTTAGTAACCTTAGATTATGGTCCAAGGTCTGATGGTCAGATGCAGGTATCGTCAACTTTATTACTGGTAGATTTGTAACAGTACTACCAAATGCTTTTAAATTAAGTTTGGCAAACCTCCATTATCCTATCAGGCTTTCACAACAGCATATTTGGAAAGCCTCATGAGTCTTCCAATTTTCATATATTAACACATTCTTCAAGATAACCATCCAAAGTAGTATCAGCCTTAGCAGAACAGAAAAGACACTGATCCATAATGCAAAGTTTTGGGTATTTTACAGCACATTTGAATACACTAAGAAATCTGTTATAAGAAGTACACTTCTGAAAGGCTAGATCCAGGCAACAGATGAACTGACATTCTCTGGAAAAGATACTACCATCAAGCTGATCTGCTCTCTAGATTGAAACTATTATAATATGGGACCAGAAATCATGGCAAAGTCATTAAGATCCCTTTTTTCCTCGAAGATTACACCTGTAAACATAAGCACCTTGTTATTATGAATTCAAAGTAAAGGCCAGTTTCATAAGAGGCTGAATAACAAGATGGCTGTTCTAGGTTTGAAGAGGGGAAAAAACCAAACCAGTAACAGGACAAAAGACATATTTCTATGAAATCTAACCATTCCAACAAAAACATGGTCTAAGCTTAGAATTTTCTCCACACTGAAGTGGGCAGAAAGAAGGACTGGCTAGAAGAGACTGTTAGAGATAATTGCTTCCTTCTATGAAAGTACTGTCGTTTCCTTGAGAAGACATGAATAGGAAAGATGGGACACAATTTCTGGAATCTAAAGTTCCTCTTTTGGTGGATGGCAAAAGGATTACTCTGGAACCTGATACCCCTAAAATGACATATATTTTAAACTCTTCAGTTTCTTGTGCTTGATTGACCCTCAATCAAGACATTAAATTCAGAATTGCAGGGCACAAATGTCTAGCTCAGTTTTAGACCTGAAGCCATGTATTTGCTGCATTAAACTCATGGAAGTAAGGCTGACTAACCAGCTGTTATGAGCTGGTCCTTATATTTTGGCACCTCTTAAGTGGATTCCATTGGAACACATCTGAAGGCAGATTCATTGGGATCTACACTAGCAGCAAATTTTTAGAATTAAGAGGGTCTTTGAAAAGATTATCTTCAAAGCTCTTAATGCTGCTGGGTACCTATCCCAGGCAATATCTCTACACCTTTAGTTACAGAAAAATCACAGTAGTAGAGAAACTGAAAAAACTAATAAAGCTTAATAAAAACATTCCAGAGATGCAACACAAAAATTAATGCAGTTTCAAGGCATCTATTACTCTTGAGTGCAGAAAGAAAATATCTGCTATGTAAAGTTAAAGCAGTTAAAGTTTGCTGTGAATATACATATGGATAACTACTCAGATTATTTTTTATCATTATCTGAATATCACATTACAAAGAAGAAAATGGAGGTAACAGCTTCTTAAACTTTATAATTCAACTATTTTACCACATATTTGTTTCAGACTAAAAAGAGCCCATATGCACCATCATTCACATTATACACTACAGAGTTGATAATGATATAATAAGGTTTTAAACATGAGATGAGTTTTGACTACTTACAAACAGTAAAAGAATTTGATTTCTTGATTGCAACAGCAAATTACAATAGCTTTTTATCAGAAGATGGTTCAAGTTTACTTACCCATTCAAATTAATATTTAAATTATTTTCAGATAACTCGGATTCTAATCACACATATAATTGACCAGACAAACATCAAGGAAAGTATTTAAGTCTTTCAAAAGACTGTTACGCAGTCACTACCCAACTGGAACCTACTTTCTGTAACAGTTAGTCTTCTTTTGTTAGCCCATTCCTTATCCCAAATAGAAGCTGAAAGAAAATACCAACATTGCCTTTTGGTCAGAAAAAGAGAGAGCATCAAGAAAATTTCAAGACTTTGCATGCCATTGTACCTAAGACAGGATCATTTTTCTCATTCTCTCTTTTTCCTGATGCACTGTCAATGCACATCCAGAGTTCTTCTAATAAGAGCTTCACTCTTCCTGTTAAAATAAATAAATAAATAAATCTATTTATTTTAAATAAATTGATAAAATTGAACTAAGAATTTGTGTTTATTTTACTCAGAACACAGACATGCCTACAACTAAATACAAAATACCCACATAAAATTAAAACAAGGCACAAGTTTCAGTGAAAGAGAAATGCTAGATGCCATTTAGGGAATAGATCCTGAACTGCTCATACCCCCAGAGCAGACTAAAGGAACAGCTGGAGAATGCTTTACACCTTTTCCTTTTTATAGGGAGTACTGCAAAAAGTTGTAACAGCTCACAAAGTAAAAGGTAAAACACATTCAAATGTAGCATTAGCGAAATTAAACAGCTCTGTAAAACAAATCAAGTTACATGAACCTGGGAGAAAATCTTCTATGAAGATGTGTATCACATTTATGCTCACTCAGTAATAATTAATCTTAGTTTTATCATGAAATAACACTATGTATCTGAATTAATTATCAGGCCACAATACTAGAAGACTGTCTGCAGTTCTAGCAGCACCATTGCTAGGTGATGTCAAACAACCTAGTTTCAGAGACAGAAGAGAGGTGGAGAGGGAAGAAAAACTCAAAACCTCAGTAAAATACATAAGCACCTTATCTACTTATGCCAAAAGTATCATAAATCCAACAATCAGGAACTGTTGTAGTGTGTTAATTTAGTTGGAGTTGGTATGTTCCGTTTCCCCCATGTATCAAATGGTTCAGTCTTTGGATCCTCCTCCCTCCCCAGTTAGCCCCTCCCCCAGTTACAAGAGCTGTCAGTTTATTGCCTCCTCCCCTGTTCCTATGGATTCATTGGGTTAACTCCTCCCCGAGCTCAGTTCTCCTCCCTACAGTGGGTGATTGGACCAGGAACAAGAGTCCCTCCCTACTATGTTCCTTATTAGCTAGCCAATGTGTCAGTCATGAGTATGTTACCGCCCAAGTTCCCTCTCATTGGTTACTGTATTGTTCCCACCCAACTGATCCACCCCCTTTATATAGTATTGCATCCTGTTGTACGAGGTCTTCTCTTGGCTGGCTCCCTTGGAAGCAATAAACCTCTGGATTTTGCCCCCAAGAGGAGTCCCTCTTTTCTACTTCGCCTTCTTGCTGCACACCGCTGCCTCCTCCTGAGGCGCTCCCTGGACGCCCCTGGAGCATCTGGGTAGTGCCCCCTCGCTGCTAGCTGCTGTGCCTCAGCTTAGCCGGTGCAGTCTCCTCCCCTAACCTAGGGGAGTAGAGAATCTCAGACAGCATCGCGGCACAGGAACTGAGACTGTTTTTGTGCAAATTCTGTAAGTCAAAGGCCATGGCAAACTGCTATTATTTTATGAAGAAGCATATTAAAAACCAGTCAGCATATACAAGGAAAACCTACCAAATTTTGCTAAACAGCTAATAACAACACTATCATTTACTTATTACTAATAACTCCTTGCTGCTATTTGAAGCTCAAATTAATGCTCAGATATTAATTTTCCTATTTTGCCATTAATTAAAAATCAAAGGAATAAATTTGGTACCAATTCAGTACAATCCAAAAGTAAAAAATATGCCAAGACACACACAAACTGACAAGGTGTGGCTTTTTCAAAAAAATTTAATTTCCGCAACAAACCTATTGCAAAGCAAGAAATAGAACAGTGAAGTTCTTTTGCCTCAGAACAACCTTCAGCATGCCTAAACGGTTCAAAAGCAGTATCAGCACTTTAAAAGACTGCAAAAAATACAAAAAATGAATTTGCATAAAGTTTGGTCTTAATACTTAAGAGGAAGTTTTCAAGGAGTTTGCTCCATTAGAGTTAGATTCAGGTAATTTCCAGCATAAATTTTAGATCACTAGAGCAAAAAAAAGTCGGTAAGATAAGATACAGCTATATCTCCTGTATTTCCATTTGTTCCAAGTCTCACTTAGAAATTTTACAAGATTACTCTCCTATTTGGTGCTTTATGATTTTAGTAAGCTTCAGAGGGATTGTTAGTATTTTTTTCAGTGTTTGCATTTTTGTTTTATAATTGCACATCAGCTGATTTCAGATATGCACAGGGTAGACTAGTCATTTTTATGAATCAAGAGTTTTCCTTACTGAAAAACTGAAAATTGTAATCTATTAGATTGGCCCTTCATCATTGTAACCTACTTGTATCAACCGCATCTGCTCTTATAGCATTTTGGCAGTATCCTCTGTTTCCAAAATTGCAACTCCTGAAGAACTGCAATAAATTCATAACAATTGTTTCCACACAGAGAATGGACTTGCAAAAAGTCTTACCTTTGTCTATATCTGTTGCAAGATCTTCACTTGAACTCTGAGTTTCTGCATGTTTAACTATTAAAAAGAGGAGAGTTGGAAAGAAAATATTCAAATGGAACAATACCACATACAAATTTGAAGGCATTCAAAGGTAAGCACTTACGTTTTCTGCACTTCTCTTTAATTACACCATCAAGTTTTCCCTGTTAAAATTAAGAAGTACAGAATTTTTATGCCATACATATTTCTTAGAGCATCAGGTCCTAAAGAGCATGAAATCTATACCAACATTTCTGAAGCTGCAAAATTTCTCTCTTACGATGAATTGCTAATGTTTAGTTATTCAATATCCACCCAAAAATGTAATTTTACTATTTCAGCATCTATTACACCAATAGCTTCTTTCTTTCCCCCAAAAATAGTAAAAGAAGTTTCACACAAAGACAAGGAAAGCCTTACTTGTGCTTTCTTTAGCTCCTTTTCAAGCCTTTTCTTTTCAGTGTTTAGTTGTCTGAAGTCCTGGGTATGCTTTGTTGCAGCCTCTTCAAAAAAGAGAACCAAAATTCAATTTAGAAACTACACTGTAAAGAGGCCACTAATTTAAGTAGTGCTGGTATAGTGGTTCCCTAGTTTGCAAATAAAATTATCAGCAAAATCCAGATAGTGTGAAATACAAATTCACTGAAGTTATATTTTGGTTAATTCAGACAACATCTTATGAATACAACTATCTTGCCTTCTACTGTATAATTATTGTTTTGAGCCACAGCAATACATTTATTAGTTTTCCCAATTATATGCAAGAATGAAGAGTGGGTCATATTATAATGATATTGTACTGTAGAACAATATACACCAAGTGAAAAAAGGAGATAAAATTGAGTTGCAAGGGTTTTTTACATGTTTTTTTGTCTTATAAGAGCTCTGGTTCAAAGATGAAAACACCACAGCCAGCTGCATTAGAAAGATACATACAGCACTCAAGACTAATAGAGAAGAGGACCTTATCTCTTAATGTCTAACAGACATCTGGCAAGAGTGCAGATGGGTGGAAATAGAGGGTACAGCGTAGGTGAGAACTGAATGCAAGGTTCCTAGGAAAATTCTCAGGTGACAGAGTCAGCTGAGAGAACTCCTAAGAGTTCAGCTTAATGACTTATATATGGATAGGAAAGAAAAGAAATGGAATATTCCTGCTGATCAAATCAGAAGAGAGCCTATTAAAATAAAAGGTTTTAAAAAGGAACCTTGAGTGGTAGGCTAACAAAAAAACAATCATGGCAAAATTTCACACTGCCAAAAGGTACAATGTTTGAGATATTAAATGAACATAGAAAAAACCAAAACAGATAAAACAGTCACTGAAATTGGACCCAACACAGACTCTCTCTCAGTATTTTGTTCTAGTTCTGCCAGAATTTGAGATTTTGGAGGCAAGTGTGTAAAAAGACTGGCTGTCCTGCAATGGGACTCCAAAATTCTCATAAAAATAAACACCTTGTACCTGTACTTTACAGTAACACCTTGTACCTGTACTTTACAGTAAGATTCAGGGGGTTTCTAACACTAAGTCACTCAGTTCACTGTATTTTGAACTATGGTAAGCACAGTTAAAATATGTGTGATATGAATGCAACTATCTGCCTTGCCAATTGATGACACAGCAAGTAAAGTCTCAAAAAGTCTTACGTACATTCATCCTCACAAACAAGAAAAACACAGTGCCATGAAGCCAGTGCTTTTTCTCCATGTAAAAAAAAAAGCCAGCAAACAAACAAACTAACCAACTAAAATACAAGTGCCAGACTATTTAAAAGCCAGAAAACATGCATCAGGAACACGAAATACTTAAATATGAACATAAACATGAAGAATCCTGCCAGGATTATTAGAACACTGGAGCACATGCCCTATGAAAACAGAACTAGACCTAATCAGCCAGAGGAGAAAACATAACAAATCATAGAAAGAACAGCTTTCCTGTACAAGGAGGTATCAAGAAGATGGAACGAGACTGCTGTACAGTAGACATTAGGTGTAAACTGAAACATGGGAGTTTCCAACATGTTACTGAACCAAGTTGCCTACAGAGGCTGATAACACTCCATCCTTTGAAGTTTTCATGACTAGAAGTTCCCTTCCAAATTCATCTGAGTCATGTGCCTAAGACATTCAGCAGAAAATAGTCTGCAGGAGGGATGATATAAATCAGAGACTAAGCACCCCACATATTACTGGCCTGCCTTGCTCCTTGGGCATCAAAGTTAAAGTCACAATTCCTCTGGACAGAAAAGGAAAAAAGAGATTATGTTACTGTACTGTTGTCCTACCCAATGTGGAAAGTTACCTTCAAGTTTTTTCACTTTAGTTTCCAGTTTCTTTCTCCTGTTAAAAAGAACACATTTATAGATCATTTTTTAAAATAGAACTATGTTGCATGAAAAGTCAGAAAAAAAATTCTAGCCATTCAAAGAAAACACACCTCCTATACCCAGGACCTGTGAGACCAGTAAGTCCCTGAAGTTAAAAAAATTAAATTGGTGGCATGTGGCATTCTCACACAGCTGTATCAGTTACAGAGGCAGAGTTTGCTTTTAAGAGAGTCAATCCACTAAATACACCTTTAGCAACAACTTGGAATTAGAAATACAACTGCAGAAAACTGGTTCCTGTTTTTTCCATTTCTGTGATGTAATGCAGACAAGTTAGCTTTACTCCTTAAAAACAATCAAGCTTTGCTTACAATGAATAATATCTAAGCAATGAGATAATCAGGAATAGCCCTCAGGATGACTTATGTCTCACACCTTTTTTGTTCAGAACATCCAGATGCTTTAGACTAAAGTCAAACCAAAGAAAAAAAAACATGAAGCATCTGAAAAATTTTGACTTCAACATTTCCAACCCTACCTTACATGTAAAACACAAAGAACTGGAAAATAAGTAAATAGAAAAATAAACATTTCTATTCTTTTCTTCTATTAAATTCCAGTATCCCAGAAACTGTTTTTAACTGTTGAGGTAAGTAGACAATTCTACCAATGATCACCGATCACTTTCATAAAGCAGAACACAGTTCATCTATTCCCCCTATTAAAACCTGTGTAATAGATTGAGATTTGCCATCTAAGCCTTTCTAGATGTTCAGGCTTTAATTACCACTCAGACATTAACCAGAATATATTCAAATACCCACTCATGAATGGTATGATTGACTACCTTTTGCATGTTCAGTAGTCAAAGTATTTACAGTATGAAGTAATAGACCAAGGATTCTGTGCCTTCTCAGCCTGAAGAGGTTACTTTCCTATAGATGGCTTTGACAGTCAAGCCATAGGTGAGAATTTCAGCAAAATTCGTCATAAAATACCTTTATAGAAAAAAATAAGGGGAGGCAACACCTTGCTATATATTAGCTGGTTCTCTTTTGAGAGCTTGAGTACCTGCCCACACAATATTGAGAAGTCACAGTTCACTGATATAGGTGATTTAAAGGTTAAAAATATTAGAGAATTAAAGAGTAATTAGACAAGTCCATTAGAGTATGCATCAAGAGCTGTAAGAGTTAACACACACATATGCTCCAGGCAAGGAAACCTTTAACTGACTGCTTACTGGAAAAACAAACTTTGGGAATTACCAAGCCACAGCTTCAGAATACTCTGTATTACGGCAGCAAAAATTACTTTTGCACTTTTGGTGCCAAATTCCTCCTGCTCATTTCCAAACATGCCAGACTGAACTGCTGAGCTGTTACATTAAAAGGATTATTTTAAGGACTCATTTTAGTACAGACCACTTTGGCAATATTATTCTTATACTGCCATCAGAGACTTAACAGCAAAACTGAAATGGATGGCAATAACAAAAAGCTGAGACTAAGAACTACTTAGAACTGGAGAAACTACAGCTTTTTTTCAACTTCATCCTGTTCTTGAAGACTTTCATTAAACAACCACATAAAGCCACTTCACAACAAGACAATAAATAAAGTAACACAGCACTTAAGAGAGTTTGCTACAAAACTTAGGATCATTCTTCCATCAACTCCTTGTTCTAAGTACAAAAGTACATACTCCTTGTTCACAAGTACAAAAATTTTAGCGAAATGGAAAGCATAACTAGATAAGGTACATTATCAATTTCGGAAGAGGCAAGAGAGGGAAAGAAAGGTCGAGAAAAAAAGAAGCATCACTTACACAGCATCACTGTTTAATATTTCTTCTTTAATTTTAACATATTCCAGTTGACTCTCCTGATAAATCTTGAGAGAACTCTGAAGAAGGAAAGCACAGTTAAAATATGTCCATACTGAGGGGAAAAAAAAAAAAAAAAAAAAAAAAAAGGCAGCAGACACCTTACCTTCTAATGAAAACAGTGCCTGGCCAAAAAAGTTTAAGTATATTCAATAAGAAAAGAAGTGAGTTGGAAAGTCAGGTTATCTTCCTTCTTTAAAGGCAAAAGTTATAACAAACAAACACATGAATCTCTTTATGTCTATCTTTTGAGTACATGCCTTCAACACCTAGCTGGATAGGAACTTGAAGCTGAAGTCAAGATCTTAACTATTATACACCATACATGTAATCCTATTTTTTTCCTGAGAAAGTGCCATCAGGACACCCAGCTACTAATGCTTGCTGAGGGAAGGGGAGTTATAAAACCATTCTAACACAGAACACTAACTAGGTACAGCAACAAGAGAAATGTTAGTATCTTTCTTATACCATTATAAAAGAGCTACAAGAAAGAACGTGGGGTATTTTCTTCAGAAATTATAATAATATCTAGAAAATACATACATGTAAGTAATTTGAACACTCTAAACCTTCTTTCCTGTAGACTAAATCTCAGCTAAGTGATGGGAGAGAAATTAGGAATAAACTTCAGAAGCTAATGATGTAAAACATATGTTCAAAAAGGCAACAGAAGCACAACACTATTCTGCACAGACCCTGTTTCTTGGCACCTTTTCACTAGTACAAGTTATATTCAATAATCTGACAAGATCAGAGCAGAAAGCCAAAGGAGTCTGAATGTTTCTCTCTCCTTCCTTCCTTCCTTCCTTCCTTCCTTCCTTCCTTCCTTCCTTCCTTCCTTCCTCCCTCCCTCCCTGAGGAAATAACCAAATTATCTGATCAAAAATTTTAAAAACTACTACAACCTAAACTTATTGCCTCTCTGAAACATGAAGTAATTTAATTAATTTCACCTAACTTCACCACAGCTACCTGTCCCAGTGAGCTGGAAATAAGAACAGAGCTCATTAAAAGTCAGCTTAGTAAGATAAGCGTTAGGAATATGCATTTCCTTAACAGAAAAAGTGCAAGTTATTCAAATAAGCACACCTTTTTTTCTTCCAACTCTGCCTTCAAGGAACCCAACTCTTCCTGGCATTTTTCCAGAGGCAGAATTTTCTGTAACATCTTCTCCACTTGGCAACGAAGAGCAGAGATCTCTCTGAAATTAGACGTACAATTAAAAAAGTTGCCAAAAACATGGATGCTTTGAAACTCAGTATTCTGATTCTTCAATCAAGCATCTCACTATTTTGCTTTCATCCTATGGAAAAAATAGGATGTGAGAATACCTAAAAACCTGTGAGAATACCTAAAAACCTTAAGAGTTTCAGTGTTCTCATTTTTCCAGCTATTTAAAGAAAATCCAAGCTCTGATTTAAAAACACTACACTGAACCCAAAGCTAGATGCAAGCAGATGGCATGTGCCACTGAAGTATGCTGCCTACACTAAAGTGGCAGTAATAAATGTCTCTGCATACATGGTGCTGCAAAGTAAGAGCAGAGTCCAAATGCAGTGTTTTTCAGCAGGCAGGTTGGAGTCCATAAAAATTATATGCTGCCTCTTCCTCTATAATCACAGAGTAAGGAAGGGCAACACAGACACAACTCTTAAATCAAAATGCTTCACACAAATATGGACACCCCAAATAGCCATACATTTAACCACCACCAAAAGATGTGCTTCACATCTCCACTTGGACTCTCACTAGCCCAGGGCCAGGAAAGAATCCCACACATGTATTGTAAAGGAAGGACAGATTTCTGTCCTCATCATACCTCTGCTAACTGTGGCCTAGGAAGCATAGTAAAAGTACCATACTAAAAGTGCAGCTCAGACCCATGGCTGTTGCGATGACACCGTCAGACTCCTAAAACTAACCACAACATAGAGAATATAGCAATACATCTTTACTAAACAATATAAATCCAACTTACCTTTCAGCAAATTGAAGCTGTAATCTCTTGTTAAGGTAGATATTAAAAACAGTTTATCAAATGTTAAGTATATTTCAATCCAACTGCCACTTGCAAAGAAACATCCAGTAAAGACTTCCTCACAGAAAAAAAAAACTCCCCAAGACTTTCAGAACTGTTTGATACATGCATTTCAATACATTTGAAATTAGTAAGAATTAGTAATCATGAAAAAGATTGAGTAATTCTCAGCAACTCAGATTTCAAACAGACCACCTTAAACCATATACCAGAAACTGGCAGATCTTAAGCGGATATTTTTAATTCCAAAGGCCTATTTTCTTTACAAAACCCACCCAGTTTGTTCCTTATTAGAGACATCATCTCATAACCTGAATGGAAAGCCTCAAGCCCTTTTATTTAGTTTTAGGTATACTAATCCTGTAAGAACACAAAGAGAAAACTAAAGGATATCAGTGCATTTCTGTTGATACTCTGTCAGCAAACGACTGTAAGAAAAGAAAAAACCCAGACATTACTCATTTTCTCGCCTGATTTTGACAATTGTATGTTAGGGTATCTTTCCTTTTGCTTTATAGATAAACAGAGAAAGTGTAAGATTGGTTTACATTTTCTGATAGTAGTCAATATAAGCCTTTGATTTCATTAAGCCATTCAAATCTCAAACTGCTTTAAGTAGAAAAAAAACCAACTGGCAATTATATGAAGTTGTAGCCATTAACCAATTGCAACTTTAAAAAAAAATTATTGCTCAGACAAAGGAAATAATATACATATATATATACTAGAGGATATATATTCATATATACATATACATATATATAAAAACACGTTTCCAAACTTGAAAGGATGTTTTCCTAAAAAAGAACACGCATCTCAGAGAAATAGTTTGAAAGACCCTAAAAGGCTTTAATCTTTATATTATTCTCCTAGCAGCCATAAAGGGTAACACTTACCCTGATGCAAGAGGACCATGGGACAGCACCAAGGAAAGCTACTCCTTTCTTTCCTCAAATGTTATGTTTTTTAAGAACAGAGAAAAGAAAGGACAAGAAAGAGTAATACCATGGGAGTTACCCTAATACAGAGAGGGTTGCATTACTTTCTATTGCAATAGTCAAGAGAAATCCAATAAAGCAAAAAAGAAAGCCTGAGCTGCAAGTAGTTAAAGAAGAAGCAATTTGCACAATAAATATATGCATTGGCAGAAAGAAGATGGACACAAAATTTAGAGGTCAGAAAAGAAATCACAACAGAATAAAGCAGCTTTGAAAAAAAAGATCCTAGTTATGAGACCCAGTGTGTGCTAGCTGAAATACTCTGGAAACAGAACGCAGGACTGTCGTTTAGATTCACTAAAGCCAGATTGACATGTGTCTAGGAAAGGATACATAAGAAACAAACCACTATAATTAGGAGACATTGCATAGATATTAGACCACAGTATGGAGGTATACATAACATATCTTGATATATTATTCCATAAAATATGTTGATAGGTTTTGAGAAGAATTGGAAGCAAGCACAGAAAAGAAACCAAACTGTAAGAAGGATTTTATAATCATACCATTCTGAACAATGTTCAGCTTCACTTTTCACATTCTGATACTTAATCCCAACAGAATTTCAGAACTTAATGATCAGACTAAATTCTGATGAGAAAGTTCATATCTGTACTCAGCTTTTAGTTCCCACATTCTTCTCCACAGAAAAATGAAATAAACAAGCACAACTAAATGAACAAAATAAATATAAATACATATCATCAATTATCTGTTTCTGCCTTAAATAAATAAATCTCTTCAAAGAGTCGCTTCTGCCAGTACTTCTAATAATATTACAGGTACACAATAGCCCTGTTTACTGTCATTATACACAAATGTTTTATGGAATAAATTAATCTTACAGTCTAGATTTAGGACATGTTTGTGAAGAACTTTTATTTTGAGAAGCATTTAGTATAGTGCATAAACAAACATCCACATTCCAAAAATCATATCTCCTGAATTGCTGTAAGTACTAAAGTATAAAACCCAAACAAACAAAAACGCGTACAATTGTACTTACTCTCCATCAATTATTTTTTGCTTCAGTGCAATTAATGCAGCTACATATTCATTCATATTCTGTAAGGAAGAGTCCCAAGTCAGTAAAGAATTTACACCCCAAAAATCAGTACTGTAAATAACCCCTAATCCAATGGTTAATTTTATAGAAAATACAATAAACTGTCTTCATTCACACAGAGAATGCAGGCTCCACAAGTAAGTATGCATCTTTAAGTGAGGCCTTGCTACAAAAGCTCTTCAAACTTTGCCTTTGCAGTAGATTCTACACTAAATTCCTATAACTTTTTCTATCAAAATCCAATTGACCTTTGGCAGAATATCAGAAATAAACATTAGCTCACTTGAGTATACAGATTTTCCAATTTCTCATCCATACTCATTCTAAGTGTGTCCTATGAACTGTCAACAGGACCTTCTCTTCATTTAAAGGAAAAACAAAAATTACCCAAAGCGTAATACCATAAAAATATACACTCACTTAAGATGCCCTTAAGGAAATAAATTCTAAATCCTTACACTGCACCGGAGCAAAGCCAAGAGCACACAATTAGAAATTCCCTGACAGATCCCACTAGGCACGTCGAAGAGACACGAGCTACTTTTCCACACTTCGCCTAGCTAGAGCTCGACACTGCTGCTGCTTTTAGATCCCGTTTAGCACGCACGGTATCCCCGTTCCCGACGGCACAGGGAGTGGTGACTGTGGTACCCGACACTTCCCTCCAGCGGCCCGGCGCTGATCCACTACCTCGTCCGTGAGCAAAAACCCCACTCCAGCGCCACAGAGATGGTGGTCCATGCCTACCTGCTGGAGAACACCGCAGTTGGCGCAGGCCCTGCCGGCGGCCGCAGTTCCAGCCGGCGGTAGCGGCGTCTCTCCGGGCATCATCGTGCCCACGCCTCTGTCCGGCCCCGGGAGCGGCGCGCCGCTCCAATGCGTCACACACCGCGCCACTGCCTTACAAGGACCCAGCTCGCCTTCATCTCCTCAAGAATGCTGTCCTTTGCTGCCTGACTATTAGCAGCAGAAAAGACGGCAAAAAGTGGTCCCTGCAGAGACTGAGCGTTGAAAGCAACTGGTGGAAAGCGACCTAGCCCACTGAAAGGCACGGCCTCAGCCACGCTCTTCTACCACTACTATTATTTTATCTTCTTTTAGGTGCGGGCACTTCTGGGAAGGGAACTACTGTGGACCTGGCGCAGGTGCGGAATAAGGCAGCTTCTTTTCACCTGGCGCGAGGGGAGGGACGGAGCCGCCGATGGAGCGGCGCGTGGAGGGGAAAGGTGGGGCTGCGCGCGCGGGTGGAGCTGTGCAGTGACAGTGCGGCCACGAGGCCAGACCGGGCAAAGCGGAGCTCCCCTGCAGCCGGAATCACCGGACACTGGTCTCGGTGATCCGCGACGAGCCTGAGGTGATATCGAAATCGGCCGGAAAATAAAGTAACACAATTTGAAATATTTGAAAGCCTGCATTCTTTATTACAGCTTTGAACACTTTGGGAAGATAGCTCCTCTAATCGGATGTGTGTCATGAAACTACAACAGGCCATTAATTCTATCATGATCATACATATTCATTAAAACTTACTTCCTAGCTAATACAGTTCACTGTCGCAGAACTAATTTGCGTCCGCCTCCTGTTGAAGTCCTTTTATAGTGCTAGACGGTCATCTAAAGGGGTCTCTAATGCTCGTACTCACTGAGTGTCCCAATATTACAGATGACCTTCCCTTGAATATTTTTTTTGGGCCTGCGTTGTTGCTTCTTGTTACATAACTTTGTCAAAAAATCCCACCATATTCCTCATAATCTATGTGTCCACTGGTTCTAGCCACGTTTATCATCTTGTGCATACTTTTACATGGTTTTGGGGTTTTTGGGTGTTTTTTTTCTTGTTTTGTTTTGTTTGTTTGTTTGGTTTTTGTTTTTTTGGTTTGGTTTGGTTTGGAGGTTTTTTTTGGTTTTTTTTTTTTTGTTGTTTTTTTTTTGTTTTTGTTTTTGTTTTGTTTTTTTTTGCTAGTTAGTTTTTAAACTCTATCTAGGAACTTCAGGAGAACTGAAAATTTATATTCTGTGTGTTATCTCTCAGAAGCTAATCACCCTTGCTGCCTTCTCTCTGCTCCCATGCTGCCAAGCTAGAGCTGCCTTCTAGACAAGGGCATGTGTAGCTGTTGCCATTCCCTGACACACACACACACCCCCACCTACTTTTTCAAATGGGAGCATACCAGTTCAGCTCACTCAGACAGCATCTTGTGGAATCATAATACTTATGGGAAGAGATCAAGCTTTTTATTTCGTCCAAGCATTTGTAAACACTTAATATTTAGCATTGCTTGTCATGACTGCCTGCATTTACCACTTACACTACGTCTTTCTATAGCGAGTAAGCTTGGGAAAGACTTTATAGAATTACAGAATGGTTTGACTTAAAAGGGACCTTAAAAATCATGTAGTTCCAAGGCCTCTGCCATGGGCAGGGACACGTTCTGTTAGACCAGGTTGCTTATGTGTTTCAGGCCATGCTTTCAATCACTTAGAGACACAGAAGTTAAAGTAGTAACTGCTTACTGTTGTGGAAAACGTTAATTGCTTGTTTTAAGTTTTTTAAAGTTTAATAGTAATAAAATGGTTATAAAAACAGTAATAAAAATTAGAGTAATAAGAATTTGGACAGAGTTAGGACAATAAAGAACAATAAAAACAAAGACATATGGACAGTCCAGGTGCCTCCTGGGCAATTAAGCTCCGAAAGCACACACACTAACAAAGGATTAACTCTTAAAAGCAATAGCCTGTTGCGTATTCATATATCTCATACATGGTGCATAAATTTTTTTCAAACAAAGCGTGTTCTCTGGTTATTATCAACTTCTCCCCCTTAATCCTGTTGGCTCCGCAAAGTCGGGAAGGTGGTGGGAGAAAGTTGGTTTTTTCTGATAAGGAGGCAATAATTTTTCTCTTGGGGATTTAGGTGTCTTGTTGCTGTTATCTCAGTGCAAAGAATTTCTTGATTATCTCATCCCTTTCTTGAGCTAGTTAAGAAAGTATCTTACATTGCATAGTTTCTATTTTAACATTACGTTATAACCTAAACTAAATTTACCACACTACTTAAAAAAATACAGTACTACTAATTAATACAACGTAACACATATAGTATTCCTTTTAATATCTGCGGAGAGCCAGTCATGTAGTATGTCCTTTTCACACTGTATTGTGCCACGCTGTGTCACCATTTGAGGTACATAGAAATCACTCAGTATTTATCACTCAGCAGACAGGACACATGGTTGCACAAAGTGCAAATTAGTTTGTAGGAAAGACATTTCTGTTCTTGTGAGCCAGCGAAGGCTTCCTGAAGATAAGGAAAGCCTCCTGTCTCTCTTAAGGAAGATACCAAGGCTATCACCATGACAATGTGAAGAAAGAGAAAAAATAAAGATATGGACTTTGGTTGGCTCACAGAGTGACATGGCTCCTTTTCACCTAGTGTTTTCTTTTTATGAACTAATGGGCAGTGTATGTGTTTGTTAAGCAAATGTAAAATATCTTGTAAAACTATAAAGGCAACATGTTGCTTTAATAAATAGATCTATACAGCCTTCTGATGGAGTCCTGGTGCTTTGCGCCAAGTGGGGCTCTATAACGACATTAGTTTGTGGGTTTTTTTTCTATTCAGCTTATGGTGTTGGACTTTATTCACTACATGCTGCTGCTTACACTTCTAGTCTACTTGAAACTTCCTCTGGCTTACAATTTATCCAGTTGCTTTTTCACTATTGTCTTCCTTGTAGTTTGTGCATATTCCTTAGGGGAATCGATATTCATTTCTAGTTCTGAAGACCATGTTAAATCTTCCTTCTGATGAACAGTAATGTATACAGTTGCACAGTTACCTGGACTTTGATGAAGACATTGAAACTTGTAACTCCTGCATAAGTGCTCTGATGAAACATAGTATTTCAGGCTTTCTCTTTCTACTTTGAGAGCCTTACAACAGTATAATAAAATACCTTTTAGAATAACAATAGAATTTGTGTGTCAGTATCACTGGAATGAATTTACCATCTGGGCTGAGTAAATTTCCCATGTGAAGTGCCCTTCCAAGGGAATGGAGCTGAGTACTACTTGTTTTAGATTTGAGAATTTGGGGCTGTAGTCAGGTCAGGTAACAAGGCACTATATTAGGTGAGTTTCTTAAGGACAAGGTTCTGCAGAAAGAAACAATGCTATATCTGAAAGAAATTAATAGATAAGATGTTTTCAGAAGAATTCAATGTTTCTTGTAACTATTCATGGTTAAAGTGAAAAGGTTACCAAAATTTTGGTTTAACATTAAAGATGTCCAAATTTTCTGGTTGTTTAGACTTCACAGAATCATTTAAGTCAGAAAAGACCTCCAAGATCATCAAGTCCAGTTTTTATAAATCCCCACCTTGTCAACTAGGCCATGGCATTAAGTGCCACATCCAATATTTGCTTGAATGCCTCCAGGGATTGATGATACTACTGCCTCCTTGTGCAGCCTATTCCGATCCTCAACAACTCTTTCCATGAAAAAATTCTTCTTATGTCCAATCTAATCCTCCCCTGGCACAGCCCAAGGCTATGTCCTCTTGTCCTGTTGCTAGTTGCCTGGGAGAAAAAAACGCTGACCCCACCTTGCTACAACCTCCTTTCAGGCAGTTGTAGAGCACAATAAAGGTCCCCCTAAGCCTTTTCTTCACACTGAACAACCCAGCTCCCTCAGCTGCTCCTCCATGGACTCATGCTCTAAACTCTTCAGCACCTTTTTTGCTCTTCTCTGACACACTCCAGCACCTCAATGTCTTTCTTGAATTGAGACACAGTACACAAGTACTCAACAGTTCCAAGTACAGGATGGCAATCACTTCCCTAGTCCTGCTGGTCACACTATTGCTAATACAGGTCACGATACCATTGGCCTTCTTGGCTATCTGGTCACATTGAAAAATGTATTTACAGCCAGCTGTTGACTTACACCCCCACATCCTTTACTCCTAGGCAGCTTTCCAGCCACTCTTCCCCCAGCCTGTAGAGTTCCATGGGGTTGCTGTGACCAAATGCTGGACCTGGTAGTTTGCCTTCTTGAACCTCATACAGCTGGCCTTGGCCCATCAATCCAACCTGTCCAAATCCCTCTGCAGAGCCTTTCCACTGTCCAACAGATCATACACTCCTGCCCAACAACTTAGTGTTGTCCATGAGTGGACAATTTTGAGTGCATTTGATTCTCCCATCCAGACCATTAATAAAGATATTAAACAGGGCTGGGCCCAATACTGAGCCTCAGGGAACCCCTCTAGTGACCACCCACCAACTGGATGTGCACCACTCACCGCACCTCTCTTGGCCCAGCCATCTAGTCAGTTCTTAACCCAGCAAAGACTGCATCTGTCCAAGCCGTGGGCTGCCAGCTTCTACAGGAGAATTTGTTGGGAGACAGTATCAAAGGCTTTGCTGAAGTCCAGGTAGACACCTCCACAGCCTTTCTCCCATCCGCTAGGTGGGCTATCTGGTCATAAAAGACGAATTTGGTCAAGTATGCCTTTCCTAAACCCATGCTGGCTGGGCCTGAGCCCTTGGTTGTCCTGTGTTGGCGATGGACTGATTCAATTATCAGAATCTGATTTATTTGTGAGATACAAATGCTTAGATACTATTTTAGGGAGACTAGTAATGTGTACTACAATGATTAGGTTACAATCACATACACAAACTTATGCATATAGCAATATCTCTTGCTTGCAAAGTTTAATGGGATTTTCTTTTTCTGGTAAACCTGTCTGATTTCATCTTCTTGCAATCTAGGTCTAATTTTCAAAGTTCTGTTTGCTTTTGCCAAGGCATCCTGTTATCAAATCTCTTATGTTAACCAGGTCCAAAGTCCATCATCTGTGTTTTGTCCCCTAATATCCAAAAATCCCCCCCTTTCCTTTTGACAAAAATTACTCTTTTAATGACCTTATTAATTAATCTCTGCACACACTGAAAGGTGTAGCAGGCACAGGGCCTGCAAGGCCTCCTTGGCGGTCAGAAGCCTGAGCTAGGAAATGCCAAGTCATGATGACTGGGCCCTAGAAGCCCCTCTCTTCCGCCTTTCGGACCCTGCTTATCTCCCTGTAAGCCTATAGGTCACTTTCCATTGACCCTTACTATTGGACAATTTCCAAAACGCCTGTAGGGTACAAAAACCCCTAATTCTGCCTGGTTCGGCAGAAGAGCTGTCACTGAGAACCTTAGTGGAAGACCCTAATAAAGAATCTTGCGGAATCTTCAAACAGCCTTCTCCTCTCTCTCCCTGTGTCTGCTGCTGTGGCACCTAGCAAGCAAAAGAGCTGATATTACAGAGAGCTGATAATCACTAGGAGCTGAAATCACTTAAGCTTGCTTGGCTGCCTGCAGCTGGGACCTGCTTGGGAGTTCAGACGCTGTTCTGAGCCTCCACTGAGTTATCCTGGCCGCAGCACCCCACCGGGCGCAGCCCGGCTGGAACCTGCCATGATAGAAAGGTATCATGATTAATACAATTATTATCAGAATTACCACATACATGCCTATATCCTATCCTACCACATATCCTAAAAAGAATCTTTTAGTTAAAAACTCCAGCCACTAAAAGGCTCAGGCTTGATCTTTACAAACTAAAGACATTCCTGAGGCAGCCATATT